TCCTCCTCGTCTTGCTCGTCCTCCTCCTCCTGGTGCTCTCTCCTCCTCCTCCTCCTCCTCCTCCTCCTCCTCCTCCTCCTCCTGGTGGTCCTCGTTCTCCTCCTCCTGGTGCTCTCCCCCCCCCTCCTCCTCCTCGTCCTCCTCCTCCTCCTCCTCCTCGTCCTCCTCCTCCTCTTCCTCCTCCTCCTCCTCCTCCTCCTCCTCCTCCTGGTAGTCCTCCCCCTCCCCTCCTCCTCCTCCTCCTCCTCTTCCTGGTCGTCCTCGTTCTCGTCCTCCTCGTCTTGCTCGTCCTCCTCCTCCTGGTGTTCTCTCCTCCTCCTCCTCCTCCTCCTCCTCCTCCTCCTCCTGGTGGTCCTCGTTCTCCTCCTCCTGGTACTCTCCCCCCCCCTCCTCCTCCTCCTCCTCGTCTCGTCCTCCTCCTCCTCCTCCTCCTCTTCCTCCTCCTCCTCCTCCTCCTCCTCCTCCTCCTCCTCCTACTCCTCCTCCTCCTCCTCCTCCCTCCCTCCTCCTCCTCCTGGTCGTCCTCCTCCTCCTGCTCGTCCTCCTCCTCCTCCTGCTCGTCCTTCTTCTCCTGCTCCTCCTGCTCCTCGTCCTGCTCCTGCTCGTCCTCGTCCTCCTGGTCTTGCTCGTCCTCCTCCTCGTCGTGCTCTTGCCCCTGCTGAAAATGTGGCCCAGGAATGGGAGTTCTGTGAAGTCGAAGAGCACGAAGTTGCCTACAGTTGGCTACGGGTATTCAAAATGTGGCCCGGGAATGGAATTCTGGGAACTCGAAGAACACGAAGTGGCCTACAGTTGGCTCCGGGCATTCAAAATGTGGCCCGGGAATGGAGAAGACGAGGAAATGGCCTACAGTTGGCTCCGGGCATCCAAAATGTGGCCCGGGAATGGAATTCTGGGAACTCGAAGAGCACGAAGTGTGTGACTGTTGCATCCGGCCCTCCAGAATGTGGCCCGGGAATGGAGTTCTGGGATGTCGAAGAGCACGAAGTGTGTGACTGTTGCATCCGGTTATTCTAAATGTGGCCCGGGAATGGCGTTCTGGGATCTCGAAGAGCACGAAGTGTGTGACTGTTGCATCCGGGTATTGAGAATGTGGCCTGGGAATGGAGTTCTGGGAAGTCGAAGAGCACGAAGTGTGTGACTGTTGGTGAAAAACGAGCCCGGCACCCTGCCGCCCGGCAACTCCCCAACACCTGCCCGGACCCCCCTGTGGAGTGATCTGTGAGCTCTTTTGAGACCACTAGAAACCTATCAGTCTTCGCTGTTAGGTAAAATGTACACAAAAGGGGGGAAGGGGGGGGAGCTTTGCAAGCCCCCCCCCTTCCCCAAAGGAGGGGGGAGGGTAGCTTGAAGCTGGGGCCCCCCTGTACGTGGGAAGTGTGCCACGCGCGCGCTTCTTCGTACAATTTATTGGAGGTCGCGGCCCGGGGGCGCGACTATGGAGTAATGTGAATGGATCGTGTCGGGGGCGCGAAACTTGCGCATTTGTCGAGTGATCATGGCTTCGGGGACGCGAACAGCGTATATTTTAAGAAGGATCTTGGCCTCGGGGACGCGAACATTGAGTAATGTACATGTGATCGTTGCCTCGGAGGCGCGATCATTGCGTAGTTTACGAAGGATCGTGGCTTCGGGGGCGCGAGTATGGTGTAATTTGCAAAGGGATCGTTGCTCGGGGGCGCGAGTATGGACTAATTCGTATTGCATCGTAGCTTCGGGGGCGCGAATCTCATGTAATTTTACGTGCACCACAGCTCCCCAAGGAATTCTGGGACCCCCTAGAGCCGTGGTATAATGCCGGTTTTGGGGTCCCCCCTTTGGGCGGACGGTTAAATACGAAGTAGAAAGTAATACCATAACATGAGAGATTTTAAGTTGGAATTGGAACAGGGAACAGGCAGCCTGATGGCCCCACAATGGGGCCAGCGGACGTATGCCGCTCGTGCAGCACGGGGCTAATGATCGAACGAGGCTAAGACAAGAACAAATCCGTTCCAGAGCGTTCCAGAACGCTCTCGGAGCGTTCCTGAACGCTATGAGAAGGCTGTGGCGCCCGATACATCCTCCAGAGTCGCTGGGTGCCAGAGATTCTCGATTTATCCTCACCCGGTTTCGTTTTCGCCCTGGCTTCGTCTTAGATGTTGTATTATCATAAGGTTTCCTTCTGCTTCTGCTGCTTCTGCTGGTGTCGGTTCTGCTGCTCCTGCTGCTCTCCATCTCCTCGCACGTGTGCGCAGGCGACCCTGATTGTGCAAGTGGGGAGGCTATATAAGCAAGCGGGGGCGCCCCTCGGCCATCCACAGTACCGTGAGTCATGCAGGTTTGGTCGTGCAAGGGGTTTTGGGCAAGATAGTCGCATTACGGATTACGGTAGGTTCGTGTCATGCCGTTGCGGCGGCGACCTCGCCGCGGGCCTTCAATGGGTTGAACGCCACCTGGTGTCCAGAATCGGCCAACGTGGAGCGGTCTGGTGATGGACAAGCCGCCGACCGTTCAAGGTTGAACGATCTACGCGGTGTCAGGAACCACCGCTGGGGTCGTCACGACACGAATTTGCCGTAGGTGCAGCTTTGTTTTCAGATGTGCCAGGGGTCAGACCACGTGCTTGGTTCCCCAACAGGGCGCACGCTGGGGAGGGGGGTCAGGGCGCCTTCACTCTTCCGCCTGAGTTCTGTCTTCCTCGACGAGTGTGCGCGGCCTCATGCCGCCTCGTTCAAGGCCTGCGCGCGGGACGGCAAGACGCGGATCGTGCGACAGCTTGCCTGGGTCACGTTTTCCACAGAATGCTGATTTCAGTCACAGTGCACAGCGGTGTCGGCACGGGCTGTGTCGAAGCGTCGAGGGTATGACAGAGGCGCTTGTTTCGGATATATCCTGAGGTAGGGATCAGGCCCCGATCCTGACAGAGTGGCACTGGCAAGGGGTTGAGCAGTGGTCAGTGCTTTCCAGCGCTCGAGTGCCACTAGCACCCTCTGGTGTGAACGCCTTCCTGGTGGCGTGCACATGTTTCCTGTATTACCCTGGCGTGCACAACCAGTTTATACAGTCACCGCTTGCGGCGAGCACACACGACACGACGGATTTCGTGATCATGCTTTGCTGGGCGCATGGCCCTCCGTTGGGGGTTGCTAAGTACGTGCGTTGCCGAGCAGAAACTTCATAGTTGACAGGCATCACGGGCCATGGCTTTGGTGGCATGGCGCAGACCCACACAGATACTTCACGAAGCCAAAGCCGCAGGAGTTGACCAAGCCGCGCATCTGTGGGGATTGCACTTATCTTCGTCACCAATGATCTGGGACACCGGCTTTAAGTTTAACATTTGTGTCAGGTCGGGACCAGTTGTCCGTTAAACAAATGAGTAAGAAGCGCCCCCTCAATTAATTGGGCAACCCGTGCGACAAGCCCGACGCCGACACACATGCACACACAAGCAATGGTGTATGTCCAGAATACGGCATACTCTCTTGAGGCTGCTGTGCATCGGGCGATGTGACTCGAGGGTACGATACTCTTTCGACACTTGGGTTGAGGGAGCGCGTGCTACTTGCTTTCTCTGAAGGTTGCACCGCTGGATGGGAACACTTGGTGCACAGAAAGGCGTGTTGATTATAAGTAGGAGTATGCCTTACGAAGGTCATCAAAACCTGAAAGCAGCCGTCGTGTATGCTTTGGTGCAGGTAAGCGTCGGAGCTCTTACCCTCGTCCTGCTCATGCTGCTCTCTTCTCACATCCCCGGCTGCCCTCTCATTATGCGTCTGTTATCTTTTTCTTCCTGCTTTTTCCCCACCAGGAATGCCAGTGGTGCTGTTCCCTCTGGGCGACGTGCGGTACATGTGTGTCAACCTGTCGTTGTCTTCTCCTCCCCTCTTGCATGGTGGCACTATTCGCTTAGCGGCAGCCCCGTTTCGCTTCCTCGCTAGCGCAGTGACTCTTGCCTAGCCGCCGGCGTAAAAAGCTGTCAACCTGCACCTCCAGGCAGTGCTGGGAGCTTTTGCGCCCTCGCCGCCCTTGCTGGACGAGCCCCCCGCGCCGCGGCGAGGGCCCGGCCCTCTCCCGGCCTGTGGGCCTCTGCGGCTCCGCTCCCGCCTGCTCTCCCGCTCCGCTGACGTGCCGCATGCACGCTGAGGGCGTTCGTTAATTAAAGGAAGGTGCCCAGGAGGCTGCGGACGTTGGCGACGTGTGGCGCGTGCGTGTCATCCTGCGCCTCCGGGCAGTGCCGGGAATTTCCGCGCCCTCGCCGCCTCTGCTGGAGGGGCCCCCCGCGCCGCGGCGAGGGCCGGGCCCTCCCGCGGCCCGCGGTGGGCCTCTGCGACTCTGCACCCCGCCTGCCCGGGGAGCCCTCCGCTCCGGTGGCGTGTGCCGCATGTGCGGTGGGGGGCCGTTCGTCAAGGAAGGTGCCCGGGAGGCCGCAGGCCCTGGAGGATTCCTCCGCTCCGGGGAGCCCTCCGCTCCGGTGGTGTGTGCCGCATGTGCGGCGGGGGGCCGTTCGTCAAGGAAGGTGCCCAGGAGGCCTCCGCCCTTGGAGGATTCCTTGTCTCATGGGGGCGGCGGTGATGTCCATTGACCCTGCCGCCTGCGCGCCGGGGCTCTCCCGCGCCGCCGGCGTGCCGCATGTACAGTGGGGGGCCGTTCGTCAAGGAAGGTGCCCGGGAGGCCGCAGGCCCTGGAGGATTCCTTGTGTCTCATGGGGGTGGCGGCGATGTCCATTGCCACTCCACGATTGGACTTCCACCAGCTCCCAGACCCCAGGCCCTGGATGCCTTCTGCAGCGGTTCCGTATCCCATGCCCCCACCGTAATTGGGGGGGGGCGCCTTTGGCGCCCTGGCAGCATGCAGAGCTGCAGAGCGCACACGAAACGCTCGACAGCAGCACGATCACGAGCCGGCACTGCCAAGGCCGCGCTCCGGGAGCGCAGGTGCACGCGGCCGCCCACGACGCGAGCCACACGCGGCCTCGGGCCTGCCGCGCCTCCGCCTCCGGCGCCCGCCCGGGGCAGGACTGCACAGTCAAGATCGGAGACTTCGGCCTCGCCCGCGCGATCGGCGGGGAGACGACGCGCCCCCCCCCCCCCCCGGTGAGGGAGAGGAGGGAGAGGAGGGATGAGGGAGGAGGAGGGATAGGCGGATAGGTAAGAGGAGGAGGAGTTACGGAGTTACGGATATTGCGACTGTGTCGGTTACATATTGCTTAAATAGAACGAGCCGCTCTTCTGGCCTGATCAGCTTTGCTGTAAGCTTTAGGCCAGATCCCCCGTTCAATATTCTTTAAATAATCTCTACGATTACCTTCTGGTCTGCCAACACACCTCTTCCCAAGCTGGGCCAACTGCTGGGCCGCAAAGCTTCCGCAGGTGCTACAGAACCAGATCTCCAGCCCAGCGTGGAACTGTAAATTGTGAGTCTCATCAGCCCACCCCCCGCAGATGTGCACCCTGCAACGGGGGGGCGGCCTGAAAACAACGCCATCGATAGCCCTTAGGTCGAAACATGGGGTATCCAACCAAACCTTTCGCCTATCTTTGGTTGCCGAGCTCCTACACTTCAAACATGACAGCTTATTTTCTGACAGCGTGTGCAGAGTGGAAAATTCTTTGCAGACAACAGGCGCTGGTGGCCTGGGCCCAGGGTTCCTGACACGGGACCCACGGGGCTCCATGGCCGCGAAGGCCTGCTCAGCTTTCAGAGTTCCCAGAGTGGCTAACACAAATCGCATACGGACGGCGAAAGCCATCTTCTCATTCGTGAGAACCTTACTCCCGATAGACGCTGGGACTCTGACAGCACTAGCTGCTGCGGATGCCAACTTGTCGGCGGCCGCATTCCCAACCGTCAAGTACAACGGAGCTCTACCCTGGAGGACATCTCGAGCCTCTTGGTGGGAGTGAGCGAAAAGGACTGTGCAGCTGAGATTGGGCTTTCTCTTGAGGACTTGCCCTACCTGGTGCCGCAAATCCGCGTTCTCCCCCTTCTGGGGCGAAGGCTCGGCCACAATACCAACCAGAGCAGACGCTGGCATTGTCTGTGGTATAAATCACCACTCCATCAGCACCGAAGAGTGCTGTGAGAAAACTGAAAAGTTCACATCTAGCAACTGTTTAGACGGGTCCTGGGAGGCCCCCGCACACAGCAACAGCTAACTGCATACTATCAGAAAAGTCAGTATATTGTGCCAAACCGCAGCCTACTCTCCGAAGACGAGGATCGGAAGTATCTTCGCCCCCGATCGCGTCCCCGAAGAGGCACACAGGGGCCAACTCAGAGCCCATGCCGAAACAGTTATCTTCGAACGCTCCGATGCCTACGCTCCACTACTCGACCTCCTCTTGTGGAGGCGGGACGGACACCCAGGCCTGCGGCAGGAGGCCACGATGCCAAAAACATGGTTCTGCCTCATGCTGTGTGTGGGCACGCGGGGCGTACTCATCCGACATCTTAGACATGTCGTGGTCAACGCATTTCGAACAGCCCCAGATACAATGGAAAGACGTTTCCTTCTCAACCCCACATTTGGCACACATCTGGGATATCGGCCCCTTGGATTTATCTGACCTGCGCTCGCGTGGCCATGCTGTCCCCGCTGCTGCCGACAGAAGGATGCCCGCCAGCTGCTTGCCGTTGGGCCCCTCCTCGAGCTGTCGGAGGAGCGCGCGAAGGGATAGGTTGCAGATGCCTCCCTCCATGCCCACACCGTCGAAGTGCGTAGCTGCTTGGCGCCACAGCCGCTGCATCACCGCTGCCTCGTATATACTCCTGCAGGAAGGCCTTCGGAACGTCAACCTTCTCAAAACCCGTCAGTGCTGCTGGATTGAATTGCCAACTGTGCTGCATACAAGAACCGTCGTCCTGAACCCTCAAATCTGCTGGACCTTCAGGCTCCCAACCCTCTTGAAGTAAATATGTAATGACTGCAGCTTGGGGCCCCCGTACGTGTCTGCTGCGCAACTGAGGAGCCATGGACCGAAACTCTTGAGCAAGCTGCCGCCAAGGAGGAGGAGGAGGAGGAGGAGGCAGTCAGGCGTCGAGGCAAAGTCGCACCCTTGTCAACCCCTCGGCCTGGGCTGAGTCGTTGGCAGAGCCACGGAACCCATCTAAAATCTGTTTCTGTTTTTGTGTTTGCATGCCTGCCGGCGAACGCCCAGCAGCTCGACATGCTGGCACCGCGTCAAGGAATTGGAGGAGGAGGGCCAGAAGAAAGGCTAGAGGCCTCTTAGATACCTCTCGGAATCTCTTTGGATGTCTCCTGGAAACCTCATGGGGCGCTTTGGGGGCAATCTTGGGCGCTCTGAGGGCCGCATTGGGACCCTCTTGGGCCTTTGGGGGCCCTCTTGGGCCATCGTGGGGTCATTTCGAGGCCTCGGAAGGTCATCGCAAGCGAAAAGGCGAGAAGTCAAACAACACTGCTGTTCCGTAGGCGTTTGAAGGATGTTGGCCTCTTGGTGGGTTTCCTGGACGTGCTCCGAGGCCACTTGTAGCCGTCATGGGGCAATCTTGAGGCCCGTTGGAGTATCGCGCGCACGTTACACGCTGCGTTTGGTCATGCCAGCGACGTGCACTCAGGGCGGACTTGGACGTGAGAGCCATTCTGGATTACGGCTTGCTGTGCAATATCTTCCCCCGCCCCCACCATCCTTTTGTAAATGGTTTTGGTATATATAGATGTACTAGAAGCAAACATACATATAATGAGAGAGAGGGAGAGAGTGAGAGAGAGAGAGAGACACATGAATAAGTGTAGTGCGTTGGGCGAGGGTTCCGTGCCAGGAGGAGCGGGGAACGCGGGCGTTCCCAGTCTGTCCACCCCGCTCCACCACTCCGCCTCTGCGCAAGGAGCAGCAGCACCTGACCGAGTCCCATCCGCACTCGCCGCGCGGGCACGGGCAGGACGGCCCCTCGGGCGGAGAACGCGTGCCTGCGGGAAGGGGGAGGTCGGCGGCTGCCGAGGGAGCCGAAGCTGAGCCGCAGAGGGAGCCGGAGAGGAGGGCACACACAGCTGTTTAGGTTCTCTTCTTTGAGCTTGGTGCGAAACATTCCCCGTCAGCTGAAGGCGAGACGCCCTGCCTGAGTCGGCGGCGAGCGAGGGGGGGAAGTGAGAAGGAGAAGGCCTTCTCAGAAGGCGGCGGGGCTTCTCAGAAGCCCCCAGGCCTTCTATGAGGTTTTTCGGAGTCTTCGGGACGGCTGGGACAACTTTTTTGATGGCCCTGGAACCGTCAAACAACTATTGTTTTTTGACAGTCCCGAGGCCCAGTGAAGGCCCGCAAAGGCCGAAAACTTGGAAACACCTACCGTCATGATTGTTTCATAACCCGAGGGGGTCTGGGGGCGTCTTGGCCATCTGTTCTGCGGTACGGCCATGGATTCGCTGGGCTCCCGGGCCGCCTGCGCGGAGTTCGCCGCCGGGCCCGGGCGCTCTCGACTGGGCGCGTGGGCTCCGTAGAGCGAGCCCGCTGCCCCCGCCGTGCCTCCAAGCGTGGACGATCCTGGGCCCAGCCAGCTGCACGTTGGCAAGTCAAGAGAGGAGAGGACGAGGAAGAGGTGGACCCAGACATGCTCGCGTCGTAAGACATCAGGACGGCTGTGCGTTCGCTGTTTCCAGCCTCTGCAAGCCCTCCCCGGGCCCCGGGACCGTGAACATAACTACACCTTAGGCGATGCTTAAGAAAACTTCAATTTTCGGCCAGAGTCTCGATTATTCTTAATGTTTCAATGTAAATCCTAAGATTTGAATGGGAATTTGGGTTTTTTTATTCAAGTTCTGAGACTATGAATTTCTTAACCCATAATTTCTTAAGCGTTTCGCAGGGTGTACGCAGGGTGAAAGACTGGCCCCAGGGAAAGGGTCGGGACTTCGGGGGCGCGGTGTTGAAACAATCAGGTCGGGGCGGGGAGCGGAGCAGAGAAAAGGTGCCCAGGAGATGAGAGGACGCGGGGGAGGGGAGAGGAGGAGACACTACAGGGGGGACGAGAGGGAGCGGGAAAGGGAGGAAGTGAGGACGTAAGGGAGGGGAGGCAGGGTGAAGGGCGGAAACTGGGACGTGGATCATGAGGAGTGTGGTGGAGGACTGAGGGAGAATGGGGGAGCGGGATGGATACCAGGAGAATAACGAATTGGGCGGAGGAAGTCGGGGCGGCGGCGCAGGAGGAGTGAAGAGGAGTTGATCAATATGTGGACATACTCATGTTCCATATTGCTCTCTCTCTCTCTCTCTTTCTTACACAGTCTCACTACATGTGTGCATTGTTTGAGTGGAGTGATGGGTCGACTGTGCACAATTTGCTTTGCGATCTTACCTTTGCCTTGCACACCCCTGCACCTCGAGACACAGGGCTTCCTGAAAGTCCCTCCTCAATGAATTTCCCATGGCGGAATACCCAGGTACCTGCGGCAAACCCGACCACCGCGTCAGTGCAGCATCGAACAGCGCACTTCGGACGGTCCTGCCGAGCTTCCTCGGAACTGCTCAGCAGACGCGTCCTTGGCCGCCAGGGGGAGCTGCGGTGCTTCAGCGGGGCGCGGCCGCCATCTTGCACGGCTGCCGCGCCATGTCTTGGAAGCCTCGTCGAGGCTTGCTGGGGTCCCCTGTACGGCCAGGAACCGGAGCGACACGCCATCCGCTTGCAGGGCATGGCGTGTTGACGGGGCCGCCGCCGCGACACACCAATCAACAGTTTCCAAGAGTAGGTCTCCAAGGTCTGTTGAGACCCTCTGCGGTAGCCTGCAGTTCCTGGGACCACTTGGGGCACGACGGCTTCCGCCAAGTTCTCGTGACGATGCTCTGTCGAACCGTCTTGGGGCCTCTCTGGGGATGTCGACTGCCTGATGACGCGCTTGATTGCGCTTGGGTGTGGCATAATATCAGACTTCATCTCGAGGCTGTCTTCAGGCCGTCTTGGTGTGAGAAAGGCCACTCGGACCCCCGCCCGGATGAGCCCTAGCAAACCATCTAGGCGCCGGAAAGGCAAATCGTAGATGTTGTTCAAACTCTCGTTCTCTATTCCGCCGGATTCCCAGCACACGTTCAAAGAGTGAATCATAGTTTGTCGCCCCAAATTCTTGGCCATCGAATGTAACAGTTTATCGCCAGTACCAGCTTTACGCGTTGCAAGCTTTGGTGCCCCTGTGGCTCCCCAGGTCCTTGAGCCATAAGTATTTCCGCTTGGTGAGGGCACATGCATCCGACGCCCTTCTTCTCTGCGTCGGTGCAAGCTCTGCTGTGGTCCCTCTCCAGTGTAACAGCTGCTGTCCCAATCGCCTCTTTTGCATCGACTGCGGTTGATCCGAAGTCCCCCCATTCTGGTGACTCCAGGGTGCTTCTCTCCCCCCCCGCATTGCGAACAAGTCCGCAACACAAATCGACCGAGCTCGAGCCTGGGACGCATACCTGGCACCACGTTTGGCCCGTGTGCCGTCCTGTCTATATTCATGGCCAGCCCCGAGGACCAGCAGACGCCGGTGCCCCACGTGCCGCACACGAAGCGGCTGCAGAAGAATCTGACCAGGCCTGCGGCGGTGCGGTCTGCAGACAGGGCGAGGAGAGAGAGGGAGGAGAGCGGACACGGCACGGATGCATGCAGGAGCGACGGCAGGCGCAGAACCCAGCAGTGCAAAGGAGCAGCGATTCACGAGTGCGTCGAGCAGGAGGAGGAGGAGGAAGAAAGGAGGAGGATGAGCGAGTAGAGGAGGGAGGACGAGCGAGTAGAGGAGGGAGGAGTTGAAGTTGCCCTTGGTCGGCAATGGCTTCGGCTGGCTCCGGCCTTCTGTTGCTGGCCACCGACTTGGCAGCGGCCCTGCCTCCCACCTCGCTGGCCTGTCGCAGGGACGAGTGTGCTCCCTTGGTGGCGCTCGGCCTCTTTCTCTGCACCATCCGCTGCTTCCCGCTGGCGCTCGGGGATGCCACCGTGCTCCCGCGCTTCCGCCTCTCTGCCCTGCTGTAGTCCCGCCTGCACCCCCTCCCCCTCCTCCTCCTCCTCCTCCTCCTCCTCCTCCTCGTCCTCCTCCTCCTCCTCCTCCTCCTCCTCCTCCTCCGCGACGGCGACGTGCTCGGCGCGCACGTCGCCGTCCGTTTGCCCGCACCCGCTCCTCCGTCCAGCCCTCTCCCGCAGCCGTTGTTTTTTGTCGGTTCGGCCGGGGGGGGGGGGCGAGCATCAGTCTGGCACCCGCGCCGGAGCCCGGGCGGCGCCGGCCATCGCCGAGCGCGTTCCACGACTCGCAAAACGCCTAATGACTCGCAGACGTCAGGAGCAAAAACAAGCTTCCCTCGATGCAATGGATGGCAAAGCCCCCTCGGCGGATCCAGGCCGAGTGCGAGTAGCTACTTTGCGAGTCGTAGACCGCGCTTGTCTCGAGAATCGGGGGTTGGACAGAACCCCCAACAGTGACACGTCGATTAGTGAATTGTCCGTTTTCGGTTTTCGAGAGGGCGCCGTGGCCGTTATTTTCCAGGCTTGCGCCCGCCAGGTTTGGGCCTCAGGTCGTTTTCACTAAACCACGTTTTGCTAAAGGGGGGTCTGTCCATCCCCGAAGTAAGCACCCAACCGATCCTGGCTGGGCCCATCCTGGGCCCACGTCGCCGCCGTCCGCTGGCCGTCGCTCAGCGGCCCTCCCCCGCAGCCGTATTGTCGGCTGGGGACGCGCGTGTAGCACGGTGGGCTCGGCATCGCTCGGACGTGTGCATTTTTCCTCGGCGAGGACTATTGAGGAGCATCCTAGATGACTTAGCGAAAAAAAGGCACGACATCGAAAAGTACACGAGGAATGGACGTCCGAGCGATGGCAAGTGGGGAGCATTCGTCAGAGAATGTGCCCAGGAGGCTTCAGACCCTGGATGACCCCCTTTTATCTGATGACCAAGCCTCGGGTGGTGGCGGTGATACCCAGGCGTGGCGGTGCTATCCATGGCCAGGCCTCAGTCGGTGTTCACCGGCTTCCAGACCCTGGGTTCCCCAGACCGCCGACCCCCAGAGGTCTGGACCCCTCCTCCAGGACCGGAGTCTCGACCCGAGCCGTTTTTTGACGCTCCCGGGGCTCAGTAAGGGCCGGCCGGAGGCCGGAAGCACTGAAGAGCCTCCCGTCGTGATTTTTGTCACAGCTCGAGGCGGTCCGGATTCCTTATCCGGCGGGTGCTCATCCGACTCGGCGGCGCCCCCAGGGGGGAAGTACAACGAAGGCCTTCTCAGAATCGAGCAGCGGCTTGCCTACAGGCCCACCGAAGAATGTTCTAATAGCCTTTTGTGGTCTGCACGAAATATCCTTAGAACATTTCTGGCCGAGACGGTCTTGTTTTAACACATCGGGCTTATGTTTTAAAAACAGAACGTTGTTCTTGTTCGTAGAACATTGAACAGTTCTGGGTTCTGAGAACATGTCGTGGTAGGCCTAAAGGCCTGCCGGCACGGTTGGTCCCTGCTCAACAGAAGGCGGCGAGATCTCTCAGATGCCCTCTGGCCTTCTGAGAGGTTTTCTGTATCTTCGGAGAAGACTTAAGAACGCTTCCCAGAAGGCCGGGGGACACCTGGGCCTTCTGAGAAGGCCCGCCCCTTCTCACTTCGACTATCGCCGGAGTGACCTTTGGTGCGGGCTTAACTGGGTCTCCGGATCGCCGAACTCGATGCGGCAGCAGCGTCGTGCGCGCTTGTGTGTTGGGCCTCCGCGGCCCCCAAGGAGCCGCGCACCAACGGTCACTCTCAATCGCCCCGGGCGTCTCCGATGTCGCTCCTCCCCCTGGCTCGCCGCCGACCAGCGCCCTCACCGCTGCCGGGGGGCCGTGCGCCGGAGCTCGGGCGTCGCCGCCGGGGCACCTCGCCGGGCCTGGCCGGGCCCATATCCTGGGGCCCAGGAGCGGCCCGGGATCGCCGCGGTGGCCTTGGGCGGGGGGGGCGTTTCAGGTTCGAGGCTCGAGGTCTTCGGCCGTGTTCCTCGGTTCTCGGCGGTTTCCGGCCTCTGGGTCGAGCTTTGGCTTTTCGGCTGTCTCTGGGCCTGCAGGGGGCTCCTCGTCGCCACGGCTTGATACGCCTTGAAGTCGGCCCTGGCATCCGTCATGCCCAGGAGAGGCTTCGAGGTTCGAGGCGCGAGGTTTTCGGATGCTTTCGTCGGATCTCGGCTATATGTTCGAGCCTCGGGATGCTTTGTAGCAGCCGCGCCTCGCCGAGAGGCAGATCTGAGGGTGCCAGGATCGTCCCGAAAGGCCGCTGGAGGGCCGAGCCATGACCCGAAGCCCTCCTGCTCCTCCTCCTCCTCCTCCTCCTCCTCCTCCTCCTCCTCCTCCTCCTCCTCCTCCTGCTTGAGGAGCCGGGGGGGGAACGTCAGGGGGGGATACGCTCAGGGGGGAGCGCATCGACCCCCCATCGCCCAGTTTCGGCAACGCGCAGGGGGGGGGGAGGGGGAGGGGGGAAGGCTTCTTAGAAGCACCCCTGCTTCCTAGAAGGCGCGGGCCTTCTCTACAGACGTAGGGCCGAGGCCTTCCAAGAAGCAGGGTGCTTCTAAGAGGCCTTCCCCCCTCCCCCTACCCCCCTCTACGCGCCGCCAGCATTTGTCGTCGAGAGGGGCCTGATGGCCCACCCCGCCCAGGAGCGTGCGGTTCCGCTGAAACTGGGCCGACACCGCCGATCCAGCGGCGAAGTGCTGCCGATCCCTGCTCGAGGCTAACTCCCCCTTGGCTGGTCCCCCCCCCCCGAGCGCCGCCCCCGAGGCAGCCGAGGCGCCGAGAGGAGGACCGCTTCGGGCGGAGGGGCTCTGGGTGGGTCGGGCGAGCCTCCGCGTGGCCGAGGCGCGCCGTGGGCAGAGAGCAGCCGACCGCCGCTGCTCCGCGGGCGCGCCCCGGGGGGCAGCAGGATCGGGCGCGTGCGCCTCCCCGGCCGAGCCCGGGCGGCGCGCGCACGGCTCCTGGGCTCGGGGGCGGCAAGGGGGGGGGCCGATGACTGAGGGGGGGGGGATAGCATAGCGTGGGCCATGGTGCTTCGCTGGATCTCATGGCGCCTCGTCTCATCTCAGTGCGTCCCTGCCCCCCCCCCCCCGGGCCACGCACATGCCGCCCGCCGTGATTTGCGCCGCCCCCCCCCCCCCCCCACTTGGACGCCCCCATCTTGGCCGCCCCCGACTGGCCCAGGGCGGGGCCAGCTGAGCGACGGAAGAAAACGGCGTCGACCGCGCCGGCACTCGCGCGTGAGCTTCCCGCGTAAGGCCGCGCACGCGGTGTGCCACGCTGCGGCCCGCGTAAGCCGGCGGCGTGAGGCAAGGGTTGCTCTCGTTGTGCGGCTTGGATCTCAGAGATCCTCGATTTTCCCTGGTCAGATTTTCGTCTCGGTCTCAGTCTTGTCTTACGGTCGGGCCATTTCTGCTTGGCGTGTCGCGCCGCCGGCTCTGGACCACCACGCTTGGGCGAGACATGCTATCCTTGAGTCGAGCCTGTTCCTCTCCAGGAGGAATGTTCACACATGGTTCAAACATAGTCTGGGGACGATGTTTCTAGCATTTGCTTGGCTATGTTTGGGGATGTTTGGTTTTTTGGGGGCTTTCGTCCCGAACTCCGCTTGCAGGAGGACATGCCCGACCCAACTCTGTCCACGCCTCGGCCCCCAGGCGTCGAGGTCCCGAGCTCCTCCCATCCCCCGCCCTGGGGGGGCGGCGCGACACGCCACCTGCTCGCAGGGCACGGCATGTCGCCGGGGCCGCCGCCGCGAAGCGCTGAGCAGAGGCCCCCAACCGTGAGGTCCGACGGCGCGGCAAATTGGAAGCAGCGCAGAAATGGACGATGTCTGACATGATCGCGTCGTAGAAAAGTCAGCCCCTGGGGGCCCTCGCCGGGCCCCGGGATCGTGAAACAGTGATTCAGGATGAAAAGCCGGCCCCGGGGAAAGTGTCTGGATTTCCAGGGATGCGTTATTGAAAAAATCAGGACGTCGCATGTCTGGGATCGGAGCCCTGGACCCCATCTCTTTGTGCATTTTCCGAAACGCATCCATCTGTCAGGCCCCCAGGCCCCGAAACTGGGCGAGGACGACCAGCTCGGAAAAAATGGAGACGCCAGGATCGCAGGGCATTGGCTACACGTAGGAGTGGCCTTTCGCCAGAGTGACCTTTTGCGCGGGCCCCATGGGGCCCCCCGATCGCTGAATGCGACGCAACAGCAGTGGCTTGCGCGCCTGGTGGTGTCCCCGCATGGCCCCCCCTCTTGGGCCGCGCACCAAAGGCCGCTCCTGCCTAGGGCCACTCTTGCGTGTGCAGTCGAGGCGGATTGGCAGGTCGACCCTGCCAAATCAAGGGTGTCCTTGTGCCCTGTGTTTGCCGACCCATGCCTTCTACATTCCTATGGCATTGTGGCCCTCGGAAGGGTCTTGTTCAGAGCCCCGAATCATCAGGGGTAACTCGGGTCAGGGCTAACTCGGGTTCGTTTTTCGGGATTCCGAGCCCGACTTACCCCGGACCCGAGTTACCCCGGATAATTTGGGCGCCCAGAGCCCCGAGTCATCAGGGGTATAACTCGGTTCAGGGCTAACTCGGGTTCGTTTCTGCGGGGATCCAAACCCGAGTTACCCCGGACCCGAGTTACCCCGGATAACTCGGGCGCCCAACTTGTGTCCTCTCGCGTGTCCTCTCCAATCAACCTCGACTGTAGCCTCGCAGGCGATGTTTCTATCCCAACCCCCGACTTTTCTACGAAAAATGGAGCAGCTCAGAAAGGAGGGAAACCCTGGGATACACCCCCAGGGGGCTATTCGGACGCACCCCTATCGAGTACGGACGCCCCCCCTCGTATATCCCAGGGTTGGGCCCCGATTTTGCGGGTCCACTCGAAAACCCCACGAAGCTTGGGATAGGGGTCGACATATCCCCTGTTATAGCCGAGGGGGGCCGTCGCTGGCGATCGGAGCTGCCGGCCATGCCGCGGCCGCGGGGGCGCCGCGCGGGGCGGCGCCGGCCGGCGCTCTGCGCCCTGGTGGCGCTGGCCGGCGGCGCGGCGTGCCTCGGCGCGGGCGGGGGCACCTGAAGCAGGAGGGGAAAAAACACACAGCCACAATTAATCGCCGATTCCCCCGAAAATGTGGAAAATATGGGGAGCGGGGGGGAGGACAAAAACCCAGAAAATACAGGAAAATATGGGGAGTCATTTTATGTGTGTGTATTTAGTTGTGTGTCCTGGGGCCCCTTCACTGAAGCCAGGACGCTGCAGACCATGATGGGCCTGTTTTCCACCACTACCACCACCATAAGTCGAAAAGGGGGAGAGGTAGAGGATGAGGAGGAGGAGGAGGAGGAGGAAGAAGAAGAAGATGAGGAGGACCCCCTCCCCCTGCTACTTCAGGTGGTGGCGGTGGAACACAGGCTCACCAGACCAGGCCTTTGAACATTCCAGCTGGAGAGAACGAATATCATTACCAGCCTGGACAATATCCCTATCCCCATGGTTACCATCATCTTATCTGGATGCCGATCTTGATGATTATTTCCGTTTCTGAGTCGGGTTTCTTGGGTCCGCGCTGGAGCCCTCTGGCGGCGCCTCTGGCGCCGGCGTGCCTCGGCGCGAGCGGGAGCACCTTACGGAAGCCAGGACTCTGCAGACCAAGCCTTGGAGCGTTCCAGCTGGAGAGAACGAAGATGAGGACAGGCCCCCCCCCCACACCCACACCCAGCCAGGACCCCCACGCCCCACCTGATGGTCCAGGGGGTCCTAGCTGGGGGTGGATGTGCTGTTGTTGGAGCTCTTGGGGGCCAAGAAACCGCCCTCCCCCCCCCATGCAGGAGCCCTAAGTCACGAGCTCGCGAGTGGGGGTCCTGGCTGGGGGTGGGGGTGGGCGGTGCTGTCCTCAGAAGATCAGAGGAGGAACAGATGCCGATACCGCTGCCCTTCCCTCGCCGCCACGGCAGGATCCGATTCGAGAAACACAGGTCAGCGCGCACGTCCTGGAGGGGGTTCGGGGAGCAGCCGTGTCGATGCCTTTTTTAGGTTCTCCCGGAAAGGATTCAACCGCCCACGGCTGCAGTGTTCTCGGGCGCGCCGCTGTCCCGATTCCCGAGGCCAGAAAAAAGTCAGGCAAGGGGGCGTGGATCACAGTGGGGGCCCATGCCAAGAAACACCCTGCTTGCCTCCAGGGTGCCCTGGGTTTCTTGGGTTTCGATGGCTTTGCTATGGAAAGCGTGACCTTCCCACACATGGATCGCTAATCCACGTGTGCGCGCCCCCGAAAAAGAAGGGTTGACGTCTCTTTCTCGACGGAAGGCCAACGGAAGTTGGCGGAGGTAGAGCGAGGGCGGCTCAGCCAGCGGGGCAGCTTGCGGAAGCCGTGGGAAGCAAAAGCTGCGCCTTGCCCCCCTCTGAGGGATGTCATGCTGAGGGATGTCTCAGGGGAGATCCGCGGTGGGCCCCCCTGGCGGCGCCTCCGGCGCCGCCCCTGGGGCGTCCGTCGCAGATCCAAGAAATCCGCGCGTAGCGCCAACAGTTTAGGTTTGTAGCGTTTTTTCTTTTCGATGGTCGGAGTAAGGACTTCGGGCCATGCGGGAGCGCATCAGAAACCACCAGCACGCTGCAACCAGTACTTCGAATTTCCAGCCGGAGAGAACGAACCCAGACGTGCTCGAGTCGCAAGAATATCGCGACCACTTGTTTTTTGCCGTTCACGGCCTCAGGATACTACCTCGCTGGGCCCTTGGACCGTCAAGCATCACTTCTGGGGATGAGAAGCTGGCCAGTACCACCCCAGGTAAGCTGAGGCCACGTCGTGACCCCCAGGCCAGCCATGGAGTAGCTCCCAACCCTGGGTCAGCGGATGGCGGGGAAGCCCCGGGAAAGGGTGGGGGCTCCTGCGGACCCCGTGTCGAAAAAAAAGAAAAGACACAGGGGAACGAAGAATGACAGAAACATACAGACTCGGAGGTCCGCGCGGCTTTCTCGGATCCGCGCTGGACCCCCTTCCCCGGCGCGCGGAGCCAGGGGCGGCGCCTGAGGCGCCAGGGGGGTCCAGCACGGATCCGAGAAAGCCGCGCGGACCTCCGAGTTTGTATGTTCATGTTTATGTCACTCTTCGTTCCCCGAAGACGGGGCGTCGGATGTCTGGGACAAGTGGGCCACGTTTCGGCCCACGGCTGCAGGCTTCCTCGGGCACGCCGACGTCTTGGTCTTGTACGACGACGTGTCGCTCTCTTGAATGTCAGCCCCGGAGTTGGAGAGGGATGAGACCCCCCTCCGTTGAACGTTGAAAGTCGTCGATTCCCGACCCTCGGTCGACGACGACGACGACGAAGAAGATGTTGACGACGATGACGACGACGTCGAAGACGACGAGGACGACGAGTCCTCTCTCAGAGGGGGGAGCAGCGCTCCCGGAGGCAAATCATGTATCATTATTTAATCGCTTCGCTCATGCCGCCGGCCCTGGAGCCCTCTTTAGGGCCTCTTGGGGGCCTCTTGGGGACCTCTTGGGAGTCTCTTGGGGCTCCTTGGCGGCGTTTTGGAGGCCCCCAGGGCCTCTTGGGGGGCTCTTGGGGGTAGTCGATTGCGGCTCCCCCCTCGGAGGCCACGATCCTCGTGAGGGGTGTCGAAAAATACCCTCCCCCGGAGGCAAATCATGTATCATTATTCTGTCGCGGGCGTGAGGCGGCAACGGAGCTGCGGCGTTTCGGCTGTCGCTGCCTGTGATGACCCAGGAGGGGAAAAAACGCACACAGGCACAACGAATCGTCGACCCCCAGGATATTATAGGGAGTGGGGGGGGGAAGACGAAACTCCAACAAGTCTGAAACTATGGGGAATCATGCTGTGTGTGCGTATTTTGTTGTGTGTCCCTGGGCCCCCTTCATGATTCGCGCAATGTCGAGAGATGTGCGTATCTATTTGTGTGTCCCTGGGCCCCCTTCCTGATTCGCGCAACGTCGCGAGGCGCGGCTCCGGCGATCGTGGGCCACCCACGCACCCGAAACAAGTTGTGTTTGGCTGCAGAAACAGACAAGTCCTGGCCCCACCGTGCGGGGCTCTGCAGGCGCGGGCGGGGGCGAGCGGCGGGCGCGCGCGTTCTTCTCGGCGCTGTTCAGCGACATCTCGGCCCCGGCGCCGACGAGGGAGGGGCTGCAGAGGTCGGCTGCACGCAAGGTCGAGTGGCCCTTCGCCGGAGGGACATCCGGTGCGGGCGCGCTGGGGTTCCCCGATGGCTGTGCGCGATACGACAGCAGCGTTTGGCGCCAGACCGGCAGTCGCGCACCAGAGGTCACTCTTGCCTGGGGTTAAATCGGGCACGTCCCTCTACAGGAGGAAGATTAATAAGATAGGTAAACAATAATCAGGGGACGATGTTTCGACCATGTTTGACTTTTTTCAATATGTTTGGAATATGTTTCTTACTGGTCGCCCAAATCCCCCTGTAGGAGGACATGCCCGACCTAAGCCTCGGGCCACTCTTTGCGCGCAGCCGAAGAGGGAGATCTCAGAGCTAGAAGGGGCCCTGCGCTCCGCGGGGCTGCAGGGCGAGGACCACCGGGAGAGGGCAGCTTGACAAAAGGTGCCGATCCGCTGCTGCGATCGGCGCGGGGGGTGCCATCGGACGGGGCTGGGACGAGGACGAGTCCGTTCCAGAGCGGCTGCCAGAACGCCCTCAGAGCGTTCCGGAGCGCTCTGAGAAGGCCGCGGCGCCCGATGGCATCCTCTCAGCTCCGCCGGATCTCTGAGACTCTCGATCATCCGTACCCGATGTCATCCTCGTCTTAGCTTCGTCTTGTGCTAAGGGGATAGGGGGGGTAACCAGTGGATGCCAAGGTGTGTAGTATCTGGCCCAACTTAGCTGGTTACACATGCCCCGAGTGGCTTTGGGGGGTCAAAGGAGTCCTCCGCTACGGTGGCGGAGCCCACTCAGCCCAGATCGCCACCCCCCCCTAAGTCTTTGTGGGCATGTGTAGCCCACTTATGAGCTAGGTTATGCCAGAAATATCTCACCTTGGCATCCCCTGGTAACCCCTCTATGCCCTTAGCAGCCCCCGCACCGATCGCAGAAGGGACCGATGCTGCTACCTCTGCCTCCCTCTTCGCTGGAGTTCAGAAGAGGATCGCCCCGACATGCTCGCGTCGTGAGACGGTCGCTACGGGAGGCCTGCATTGCCTTTGTCCGTTGCGTCGCTCTCGTCTTTCTGAGCCTCCTGGGAGGTCCTCGTCGCCACGTCTGGATTCGCCTCGAAGTTCTGGTCAGAAGGCGCCCCAGGAGAGATCCTGGGAGTAGCGGTATCGGTATCTGCTGGTTTTCCCTTTGCTTGGCGAGGGAGCGGGGCAGCACATGGCACCCACCCGACCTTTCAGCGCCGTTGTCGGCAATGATCATGCGCCGCTTCGTCGGCCTTGCTGGCCGAGGGAGGACGGGGACGCCTAGGGCACACATCCATCCTGGTGCCAGGGTTTCGAGGGCCTCCAAGCGTCGCCGAACCCTGCTTTTCTCCGATAACGGTCAGCGCAGACGTAGGCACGTTGTTCTACTGGGCTGGGGCAGGGTTTCTGGCAAAGTCTACGCAGGTCGAGGCCCTGGGGATAAGAGCAGATGTCTACCGCCCATCCCCAGGAAATTCACCAGATGATAGTCTGATCTCCTGCAGTGCACCTTCCGATCCATATACTATGCTGAGCCACGTCCAGGTGCCTGCCGCAATTCCGCCACCGTGCCAGCGAAGCACTCTGTTTGCCGATCATTCGAGCACCGCTCGCAATGCCATCACATGTGACGCCTTGAGGAGCTCTTGGGGAGCTTATCAGGGCAGTCTTAGGGCTGCCTTGGGCTTCTGTAGGGCAGTCTTCGGCCCCCCCCCTTGAGCCCTCTTGGACCGTGCTGGGGCCCTATTGGGCCGTCTCGGTGCTCTTTTGGAGCGTCTTGAGATCCTCTTTGCCGTGAGCGGCGTCTCTTGGGGCCGTCGTGGGGCCGTCTTGGGTCTCTCTGGAGGCCAGGTTTGGCTTGCTTGGGTCTTTCTTGGGGCCGTCTAGTGGCCCTCTTGGGGCTCTCAGTGGGCCCTTTCAGCTTTCAAAGGCAACCATTGGGCCGATCTTCGACCGAAGAGCGTGGAAGGCGGAACACCACTGGAGACAAGCCAAAGACAACGCGCCTGTTTTTGTTTGTCCTGGGGAGTCTTGGGACTTTCTGGATGCTTCCTGCGACCTGCTGAGCGCTTCGTGGAAGCTCTTTGGTGCGCCTCGAGGCGACCCTGGGCCCTCTTGGCGGCCTTGGTGGCCTGTCTGGGCCGTCGCGCACGCGCTGGAAACAGCCGCCTGACAGCACCGGCACTCTTCCCACGCCTCCACGTGCTGGGAGGCACCGTGGTAAACCTCGTCTCGGTCCGCACGTCTGCTCTTGTCAGGTGGGGCAGGGCCGGCGCGCAGCTTCGCCGGGTGGGGGGAGGACATCAGCAGGGGTGGCGCGAGCGTGCATGCTGATGCTGGTCCTCCCCCCCCTCGGGAGGACCGCAGTGTAGAGCGCTCTGCGAAGAGCAGCAGTCTCTTCTCGCTCCCCCCCCCCAGTGCCTTTCCAGCCACAGCGTCGGAGTGGGGATCTGTCGACCTGGCGTGCGGAGGGCAAGGGCTGATGCCTGTACGGCGGGGGCATTGGTTCAGGAATGTGAACAGGAGGCTGCAGACCCTGGACGGGGTCCTTATCTGACGAGGCCCGCGGTGGTATCCATGGCCAATCCGATTGGAGTTCCACCGGCTTCCAGGCCCTGGAATCCTGACCCAATGGCCTCACCGTAGTCCGCCCCTCGCTCTCGGCGAACGTCGGCTTGGCGCCCTCATGTGCCGTCGTAGCTAGCCTGACCTAAACCGCGAGGAGAGGGAGGTGCTGACCAACACCATCAGGGAGAACAACTTGCTGCGCCCCGTGATGCTGCAGCTGGTCGCCCAGGCTGACGCGGTCCCTGCCGACGAGGACCGAAGACGGAAACAGATGCACAAACATGAGGTGGGGGCGTTGGTGCAGAAATGGGCCCAGGAGGCTGCAGACCCTTTGAAGATTCCTTATCTGATGAGGGCGGTGGTGACATCCACGGCCAATCCACGATTGGAGTTCCACTGGCTTCGGGCGCTGGAACCCCTGTCCAACGGTTCCTTGTCCAAATCCCTCGCCATAATTTGTCGGAGGTCCGCGCGGATTTCTTGGATCGGCGCTGACCCCACGATCCTGGCACGCGGATCGCGCCAGGGACGGCGCTCGAGGCGCCACCAGGGGGCCCCCAGCGCAGGTCCAAGAATTCCGCAAGTACCTCCCAATGTTCATGGTTATGCTTGTCTTTGCTCCTCTTCCGCCCCCCCTCTGGCTCAAGCCTTGGCTCAAGCCTCGGCTCAAGCCTCGGCTCAAGCCTTGGCTCAAGCCTTGGCTCAAGCCTGGCTCAAGCCTCGGCTCAAGGCTGTCCGGAAAGGCCTGGGCGGCGCGGCCCAGCCGCGCTGCCGCCGGGCCAGCTTGGGGACTCGGGCGGCGCGGAGGCGGCGGCAGCGGCGGCACGCCTGGGCGGCGTGCGGCGCTCGCTGCCGGCGCCGCGGGCGCCTCGGCCGCCGCTGGCGCCGCGGGCACCGAAGCTGCCGTGCGCGCTGCCGGTGCCGAGGGCGTCGCTGGCGCCGTCGGCGCCGTGGGCGCTGCGGTGCCGCAGCCGCGGCGGCTGCCAATGGCCTGTGGGCTGCGGCGGTGACGGTGCCGGGCGGGCCGCCTTGCCTGGCGCCGGATCCTTGCATCCTGTCCGGACCAGCGCAGATGAGAGCACCGACGCCAGCATCCGCGTCAGCAGAGCTTGGATACCGACGCCAGCCTCCCCGCCCACGCAGCCTATGCCACCGCGGTCAGCATCCTCGGTAGCTCAGCGGGAAGCACCGACGCCCGTATCCTCGCCAGCACAGCGTGGAACACCGACGTCAGTGACGTCAGCATCCCCGCCAGCTCAGCTAGGAGCGTCGACGCCAGGAGCTTCGCCAGCGCAGCCAGGAGTGCCGACGCCAGCATCCCCGCCAGTGCAGCCGAGATCTCTCACGTCAGTATCCTCGCCATTGCAGCCAGGATCCTCGTCACCACCACTAACAGCATTCTCGCGACCACTGCTAGTAGCTCCGACGCCAGCATCCCCGCCAGCACAGCGGGGAGCTCCGACGTCAGCACTTTCACAAGCACAGCCGAGTGCCCCGACGTCATCACCCTGGTCCGCCGTCGTCATCATCTTCGCCATCTTGCCAGCACAGACTGGAACATCGGCGCCAGTATCCTCGCCTTCGCATCCGGACGCACAGACGTCAGCATCCTCGCATGCGCAGCCGCGAGGACGGCACGACGGCCGCCAGCTGCACGCATGCGGCCAGTACGACGGGCTCGAGCGTCAGCACCGCGGTCAGCACGACGGATTCCAGCAGCACGATCGTGCTCAGCACGACGGACTACTCCAGCGGCAGCGCCGTGAGCAGCACGACGGACTCCAACAGCACCCCACCCTGCGCAGCACGACGGATTCCAGCAACATTACCGTGAGCAGCACTGCGGACTCCAACATCACGACCAGCAGCATCATGGCGGAGCTCAGCAGCACCATCGCGACCAGCATCGCGGACCCCAGCAGCATGATCGCGAGCAGCGGGGCGAACTCCAGCAGCACGACGGATTCCAGCAGCGCGACCGCGAGCCGCTCGACAGATCCCAGTTTTCTCCTGGAGCGCTGGGGGCCTCAGGAGGCCCTCGCACCGGTGCGCCTCAACGAAAGCTGTCTGGGAGCGCCCGAATCGTCCCACCGTGCCACGGCTGCCCTCCGTGGGGCGATGCCGTCGGAGATACAACCGTCGTTGCAACGATTGGTTGCACACGCGGACCTGGTGAGGAGGAGGAGGAGGAGGAGGAGGAGGAGGAGACGTGCACCGCGGCTGCCCTCCGCGCGACACGACGCTCCCCGCCCCAGGTGCGACGATGTCCGCAGGGAGGGCGCAGCCTCAGTCCCCTGTCTTTACAGCGATTCGTTGCGCACCTTGAAGGGAAGGGGGAGGGAGGGGAGACGAGCGCCACGGCTGCCCTCCGTGCGACACGACGCTCCCCACCCCGGGTGCGACGATGTCCGCAGGGGGGGCTCAGCCTCATTCCACCGTTTTTGCAACGATTGGTTGCACACCTGGACCTGGTGAGACGGGGGGAGGAGGAGGAGGAGGAGGAGGAGGAGGAGGAGGACGAGAAGGAGGAGGAGGAGGAGACGAGTGCCGCGGCTGCCCTCCGCGGGGCGAGACCGTTCGAAAACCACTCAGTTTTGCAACGAGTCGTTGCGGTCTTGGGCCTGGAAGGGAAGGGAGGGACGAGAAGGGCGCCGCGGCTGCCCTCCGCGGGGTGAGGCTGCGGAACGTTTGAGCGTCAACCCCAGCGACAGCTCTGGCTCTCAACCTGGATTCGACGTTGCCACGCACGACGCTGCATTCGCTTTGAGTCGGAGAACGCGGAGATGGAGGAAGGGGAGAGCCTGGACATCCCTCGTCGCCAGGGCCGGACAGAAGCGGAACCCAGCGGCACAGTCGTGGGCAGCGCGACGAACCCCAATCGCAGCCTCGGGAGCAACGCGGCGGAGGAGCGAGCCTTCGACCCACGCCAGCTCGCGCAGGGATGTGACCCGTTCGCCCTGAGCGGCCCTCGCCTCGTCCCCCCCCCTCTGCGACCGCTGCTGCACGCCGGCCAATTCACTAACCACGGCGCCCCCGTTCGGCTCGGCCAGCGCAAAGGACCCCTGCCTTGCCACCGACGAACAAAGTGTCGGGCTGCGCACGGACAGCCCCCCCCAGGGTGATTAGTGTCAGCTGGCTTTTAGAGGCCCCTATAGCCCGGGACGGTCCAGTCGATGGTCGCCGCCGCCGGCGGCGGCAGGGTGTTGAGACCGCCTGGGCTACTCGGGGGGCCTGCTGTGACCAGCCAGGAGTACCTGGGGGTGGCTATCTGCGCGCGTTCCGAAGTTTTCCCAGACATGCTATGTTTGGGTCTGGTCTTTTGTCATTGCGGGGTCCCCAAAAGCCCCGCGACCTTTCCCCAGCGCCGGCTCTGCATGCCGAACCGTGGACGGCTTCCAGATCAGGCGAGGGCCCCGAGAGTCCGAGAACGACCAAGAGCTTCCCGCCGTGATCATTTCGCGACGTGAGCATGTCCGGGTCTGTGGGCCAACATCGATCCTTGGACCCCAGGCTTGTTCAGGGTGCGTTTTGGCCAAAATTTCAAATGCGGATCCAGTCATGGCGACGAGGTTCCCCTCGGGGCCACAAAACATGGGAAACCCCAAAGTTTGATCCTCGAAAGTTCATGTCTTTGCTCGTTCTCGTTCCCCCAGAGGTGTGGTTCCGATCCCTGGACTGCGTTCAGGCGTCGTGTGTGGTCGCTCCCCCGGAATCTGCTTTGACCATCGCACGACTCATCATCCACAGGAAGACAACTATCCTGTTGGGAGCATGGGGCTGGGAGAAATGAGGATGTCCTTACCCGTAGGCGGCCGAAGGTCGCGTTCATTGCATCTGGATGCTATTGCTGATGCCCTTCATCCCCCAAACCCCTTCCTTCCAACACGATAACTGTTCTCCTCGCGTCCTTACCCTGGAGTTGTGGTGCACGTGCGCCCGTCGAGCACCTGAATCTGACCTCGGAGGAGGGGGAGGCGAGGAAGGAGGGGAAGGGGGAGGAAAAGGAGGAGGAGGATGAGGAGGAGGAGGAGGAGGAGAAGGGGGAGGGGAGGAGGGGGGGGGGGGAGGAGGGGGAAGGGGGGGAGGAGGAGGAGGAGGAGGAGGAGGAGGAGGAGGAGGAGGAGGAGGAGGAGGAGGAGGAGGAGGAGGAGGAGGAGGAGGAGGAGGAGGAGGAGGAGGAGGAGGAGGAGGAGGAGGAGGAGGAGGAGGAGGAGGAGGAGGAGGAGGAGGAGGAGGAGGAGGAGGAGGAGGAGGAGGAGGAGGAGGAGGAGGAGGAGGAGGAGGAGGAGGAGGAGGAGGAGGAGGAGGAGGAGGATGTGGAGGAGAAGGAGCAGGAGGAGGAGGAGCAGGAGGAGGAGGAGGACGAGGAGGACGAGGAGGAGGACGAGGAGGACGAGGAGGACGAGGATCCCGAAGTTCTACGCGCTCGCAGGCGCTCCGGCTGTCTCGCTGCCCTCCCTTTCCCCCGCCTCCTGCGTGCCCCCTCCGCTGCATGCCCGATTCGCTGCCGACACGCCCCGCCGATAGCCGACCACCTGCTGGATCCAGCTTGCCGCTGGCCAGTTCACTCGCGGGCGGACCTCCTGCAGGTATTGCAGAGGCCTTCCGGCCGGCGCCGCCGACCCTGGAGGCCTCGGCCCTCGACGGAAATGGGAGGGAGAGGGCGCTCCCGACACGCCCCTGCAGAGGGTGGTATTCTGACCCAGGACCACCCCCCGGGACCCTCTCCCCGGGACCCCCCCCCTTCCCTGGGACGCTAAGCACCCGAAAAGAGCCGGACGCTCAAATTTGAAAATCTCCCGAAAACGCCAGAAAAGTCCGAAAAGTCGAAAAATCGAAAAGTCGAAAAGTTCAAAAGACGAACCCTCCCCACCCGGGACCCCCCCTAGTTCACCCGCGGGCGAACCTCCTATACGGGTATTGTCCTTTCCCGAGGACGCCTTCCCTGGGCAGACAGGCCCCCTGTCATGAGAGTGGCCCCGCGGGGCCAGCTCTTCCTGAGAAGCCCACCCGCGGGCGAACTTCAAGGACCGGCCAAAACACTGTTTAGGCTTGGTTTTGGCAATTGCTTTTGTGTTTTGGTTCGTTTTTCGTTGTTGCTTCGTTTCGTGATTCGCTGTTGCTTTAAACGCCCCTTGTCGTCGTTCGTTTTCGTTCGGCACCGGCTTCGCCTAAAACGTTCGTTTCAAACGTTGGACCTCGTTTCGTTGTCCGTTGTAAACGCCATTTCGTTTTAAACATCGTTGTGGTCGGTCCCTGGCGAACTTTCTCTGGGAAGTTCCATTTTTTCCCGCGTGAACTTCTCCAGGTAAGTTTGCCGCGGGTAGACTCTCGCTTGCTGTCCTGGGGACGTGGTGGCCTCCGGTCAAGAGCGACCCCCAGACCTGTTGCGGTGTGCGTTCCGGCCTGGATTCCATGGCGGATCCAGCCGTGGCGACAAGGAGTTCCCTGAAGCCCAGAGGCCTCCGAATTTGGCGGCGGGCCAGGGGGGAAAATGAGAAGGAGAAGGCCTTCTCAGAAGGCGACGGGACTTCTCAGAAGCCCTCGCGCCTTTGAGAGGCTTTCTGCTTCTTCGGGGAAAGCTGAGGAAACTTTCCAGAAGGCCAGGGGGAGGCTGAGGCTTTCTGCGTTTTCGGGGAAGGCTGAGGCTTTCTGCGTCTTCTGAGAAGGCCCGCCTCTTCTCGCTTCTTCCCCCGCCCCGGGCGCGCCGCCCAAGCATGGCAGAAGCAGCCGAAGGCCGGTCCTCGAGTGTTTGTGCTTCTGCCGTTTGCCTGCTCCCCTGGAGGACATGGTGGCCTCGGCGGTCGACCTCGTCGCGGCCATGAACGTCCAGAGGCGCGCCACGCTCCGCAGCACGCCGGAAGCCCTGCAGCCCGCGCTCGAGGCCTGCGCGGACGCCAGGCGCGGAGCCACGACGAAAAACATGCCCAGTGTGCACGCTGCATCCTCGGGGGACCTGCAGGGCTCGTTTCGATTCCTCCAACTCGGTTCGACTCCGATTCCGATTCCGACTACGACTCTGATTCGCTTCGATTTCGGATTCCTATTGCGAAGGCCTTACGGCCGGTGCCGCCGACCCTTGGAACGACGAAGACGGAAACGAGGGGGGAGGCAGGGGGAAGAGGATGAGTGGGAGGTGGAGGAAGGGTGGAGGAGGTGGATGAGGGAGGAGGATGGGGGAGAAGGATGTGGAGGAGAAGCAAGAGGAGGATAAGGAGGCAGAGGAGAGCAGGGGGAGGGGGAGCAGAGGGGGGGAGGAGGAGGAGGAGGAGGAGGAGGAGGAGGAGGAGGAGGAGGAGGAGGAGGAGGAGGAGGCGGAGGAAGAGGAGGAGGCCAGAGGCTTTCTTGGGACAGCCTGGGGCTCTCTTGAGGCCGTCTTGGTCCGTCCAGGGTTCCTCTTGCGCCGTCTCGAGGCACTCTTGGAGGCCTCCTGGACAATTTGAGGCCCTCCTGGGCTGTCTTGGGGCAGTTTGGGGGCCCCTTGGGAGCCTCTTGGTGGCTCTTGGGGCTTCTTCAGGGCCGCTTGGGGGCCTCTTGGGGTTGAGAGCTCGAAATGTCCGTTCGCGTCCCCCGTCTGGGCACTCTCCTGGAGCCGTCTTGGGGGCCTCTTGGGCCGTCTTGGAGGCGTCTTGGGCTGTCTTGGGGCCCTCTTCGGCCGTTAGGGGACCCTCTTGGGGGCCTCTTGGGCCGTCTCGGGGCGATCTTGGTGGCCTCTTGGGCCGTCTTGGCGCGTCGGGAAGCGGAAGAGGCAAGAACGCCAAAATCTTTCAAACACGTATGGAACATCCATGACTTTTGCCTCTTGGGGCTCTCGTGGGAAAGCTCCTGGAGGCCTCTTGGGGCGCTTTGCAGGCCTGTCTGGAGGCCGTCAAGGCGTCTTGGACAGATCGCTCGGCGATTCGGGGTTCTCTTGGACTGTCTTTGGGGCCTCTTGGTGCACTCTTGGCCCGTCTTGGGGCTTTTTGAGGCTCCAGGACTCCTGGGGGGCGTCGTATCTGACCCCCCCCCACTCCGGGATCCTCCTCGCGGGACCTCCCCCGGGCCCCCTCCCCCCCCCGGCGGGGGAGGGATCGAAGGGAAGGGGCTTCCCTTCGACTCAATTACGACGTTGCTCAACGTCGCTTTGGCTGGCGCGCTGAGGAGGTCCCTGGGAAAGGGGGGAGCTTCAACGAGCCCAGGGAAAGGGGGGAGGCAGGGAAAGGGGACGACAGAGACGACAACCAACGAATGACGGAGATGACGACTTGAACGGACAAGCCCCTCACACACGCCGACAGGGTCGGCGGATTTGGATTTCGATGTGTCAGTGGAGACCTTACTAGCCTGCCGATTTTTGCAAATTCGATTCATGTCCATCGCCGATCCGACTTCGCGATTCGATTATGGGTCCATCTGCTTCTACGCCACGCCACTCCCGATCGGCACAGAGGCCGCGTCCTGCTGCAGGCCACGGGACACATGATAATCGATGGAAGAGAACTCGCATTGGAGCAGCAGTAGCAGGCCATCACCCCTTCGACTGCGACTGGAATAGTCAGTGCTGATACCACTCAGAAGGTACGCGAGCGTCAGCGGGCTCCCATTCTTGTGCCCCCCGAATTGGCATTTTTCCTTGTGCCCGGCGCGGGCTCGATGCGGACTCGCTATGGACTTGGCGTTGATTCGACGCGGATCCGACGTAGACTCGACGCGAGTTTGACGAGTCCGAAACGCATTCGATGCAGATAGGGGCGCGACGGGGCAGACAAGGTCCCTGGAGGATGCAACATAACAGTGCGTGCTCACGCGTGGCTGCTCCTCAAACCCAGATCCTCTCGCCCCCTCGTGTCAGAGGTTCAAGGATCGATCTTCATCATTTCCCGCCTTTCTTGTGGGCCTCCAGGATAATCCTTGTGGCCACTGCTGGATCCGCCTTGGAATTTTGGCCAGAACGCACCCCAGGACAGCACCAGGGAACGAATTTCGACCCCCAGAGCCTGCCATTCTTGACGCTTCGAGGTTTGAGTTCCGAGGTGTTCGGACGCTTTCCCCAAGTAGGCTTGCCTAAGGGGTTTTTACTTGGTTAAAGGTTGGTGCCTACTGATGGTTCGCCCACTTCAGGGTTGCATTGCCCGTTGCTCGGAAGTTCCCCGGGTTCCCCGGGTTCCCCGCCCCCGGTGCCTTTTATTCTTACGTTTCCTGTTGCCGCGGAGGTTCCCCGGGTTCCCCAGGTTCCCCGCTCCCGGTGCCTCCTATTGTTACGCTGCCCGTTCCCCCAGGGTTCCCTGGGTTCCCCAGGTTCCCCGCCCCCGGTGCCCTATGCCAAGCAATGCCAAGACATGCCAAGCAATGCCAAGCAATACCAAGCCCCGGGTTCCCGGGGTTGTTCCCTGCCCCCAGAGCTTCATGCCAGGCAATGCCAAGCACCGCGCCCACGCAATCGGAAGCTTTCCGCGGATTGGGGTCGCGCCGGGTTCATCGCCGGACATCGATCGTTTTCTGACCTCGGGACGTGGTCTTCAGCAGCTGCATCTCGCCGAGGGCGTTCCCGGGGTGCCCGGATCCTCCCGAGCGGCCACCGCGGAGAGCCGAGCCGAGCGGCTACCGTCTCCCCCCAAAGGGGGCGACGCGCGCACCAAGAAGTCTTTAGTATATGCGACCTGGCGGGCGCTTCCTGGCCACACCGCTCGGGAAACGACTTACTACACGATGGGTATCTACTACTGGTAGTGCTATCCTTGTTAGGATGCCGCTGGGGACAAGAATGTAATGCCATGGCGGGGGTCAGGAGACAAATTGACAAGACATGAGCGTGTTGGGGACGTCGCTCTGCGCACAAGCGAGTCGCAGTTCTGTGCAGCGATACCCCCCCCACACTCCTACGAACCATGTTCCACCCCAGGACCATCTTTGGAGCCTGCCTCAGGCAGGAAGGGACCGAGTGCGAGGAGCACTCGAAGCGCTTGGTGGCGGAAGGCGTGCCAGCGGACGAGGCATCCAGGCAGAGGAAGCGGCACAAACAGAACCCTTCGGAACTCAGCGCCGGGTTCTGAAATCGGCGCTGGGCCCCCCCCCTGGCGGCGCCTCCAGCGCCGCCCCTGGCGCGCTCCTCGCGCCAGGGGCGGAGGGTCCAGCGCCGGTCCAAGAGATCTGCGCGGACCTCCGAGTCAGCTCCTCCCCTCCTCCTCCTCCTCCTCCTCCTCCTCCTCCTCCTCCTCCTCCTCCTCCTCCTCCTCCTCCTCCCTCTCCTCCTCCTCCTCCTCCTCCCCTCCTCCCTCCTTTTTCCAACCACCCCACTCTGGCGCACCCGGCGCCCGGCACACGCTTCGTGGCCCCATAGGGAGCTCCACGCAGGGTCCCAGTGGTTGCGCCCCCATGCCGCCGCCACCCCAGTTTGGCGCACCACACACACTTCGTGACCAAATAGGGAGCTCCACCTGAGGCTCCAGCGATTGCGCCCGCATTCCGCCGCCACCCTACATTGGCACTCCCGCGCAGACGTCGTGGCACCATAGGGAGCTCCACCTGAGGCCCCAGTGGTTGCGCACGTATGCCGCCGCCACCCCAGTTTGGCGCAACCCTCACGCGCTTCCTGGCCCCAAAGGGAGCTCCACCTAAGGCCTCAGTGGTGCCGCCCGTATGCCGCCACCAGTTTGGCGCACCCCTCACACGTTTCGTGCCCCATAGGAAGCTCCGCCCTGAGGCTCCAGTGGTTGCCCCCGCATGCCGCCGCCACCCCAGTTTGGCGCACCCCTCACGTGCTTCGTGGTCCCATAGGGAGCTCCACCTAAGGCCCCAGTGTTTGCGCCCACATGCCGCCGCCTCCACCCCAGTTTGGCGCTCCCATCACACGTTTCGAGGTCCCATCGGGAGCTCCACCGAAGGCCGCAGTGGTTGCGCACGCATGCCGCCGCCACCCCAGTTTGGCGCACCCTTCACACCTTTGGTGGCCCCATAGGGAGCTCCACCGATGGCCCCAGTTGCGGCGTTCACACGCGCCCCGAAAATTTCTTGTGGCCGCATAGGGGGCTCGACCAACGACCCCAGTGGTTTCGCCCGCACGTCCTTGCCACCCCAGTTTGGCGCACCCCTCACACGCCTCGTGGCCCCGCAGGGCTATAGGGAGCTTCGCTTGAGGCCCCAGTGGCAGCGTTCGCATGCCTTCATGATGGCACACCCCTCACACGCTTCGTGGTTTCATACGGAACTCCACCGAAGGCCCCAGTGGCAGGAATCGTATGCGTGACCTCGCCCATGCCGGCAGGCCCCTCACACGTGGCCCCATAGGAAGCTCTACCGAAGGCCTCATTAGCAGGACACGCATGCATGGCCGTGTCGATTTCCGCACACCCTTCACACGTTTCTTGGCCCCATAGGGAGCTCCGCCGAAGGCTCCAGTGGCGGGAATCGCATGCGTGACCGCGCCCTCTTCGGCACACCCCTCGCATGTGTCGCGGCCCCCTTGGGAGCTGCACCGAGAATGCCCCATCAACAGTAATCGCATGCGTGACCGCGCCCATTTTGGCACAGCCCTCGCACGTTTCGCGGCCCCGGTGGGAGCTCCACCGAGAATACCCCATCGACAGGAATCGCATGCGTGACCGCGCCCATTTTGGCACACCCCTCGCACGCTTCGCGGCCCTATAGGAGCTCCACCAAAGGCCCCGCCGCCTGCTGCTCCCGAGATCGCGCCCTGCTGCTCCCCAGGGCCAGGCCGACAGACGCTCACATCAGCCGTGATGGGTTACATCCAGACGTAACCCGTTGCGGCTGACCCTTGCGACCCCATCAGCCACGTCGCTCCGGCCCTCTCACGCACGCCTTAGTCCTTCTGCTCGCATCCTCCCTTAGTTTCCACCTGTCTTGCGGCACTCGCAGCTGTATATGGTTGGGTCCTTCGCCAGGCTAATTGATATGCTCCTGAGGTCGACTTCCACGTGTCGCAGCTGCTCTTGATGAGGCGCCTGCGGGAGCTGTCTGTTTGGGACCTCGGCATCACGAAGGGCTGCATGGAGGCCAAAAGGGCCATGCTGGAAGGCGGCCTGGGCGAGCCCCTCGGCGCGCTCGACGCGCGGGGGCTGTCCATCGCGCAGGTGTCCCGAATTTTGAAGCTGATTGTCATGCAGGAGCGGAAGAAGCAGGAGCCGCAGCCGGGCCGAACAGTCTTTACGCCGAAGTGCTGTCGTGGGCGAAGCACATATCCGTATCCGCGGCCTCGCGGGCCAGGCTCCCGGGCCGCGATTCCGCGGACACAGAGCGTTTGTTCGCAGATGCCCCGCGCGGAACGCATCCGTGCGAACGCGTATTCACGGGATCGTGCCCCGGAATCCAGACCGCGCGGGCGCGGATACGGATATGGTCGCCGCTCGTTGTTTTGTTCCCTCCTCCTGCTCTCCCCATCTTTCGTACAACTTCCCCTGTCGCAGCACCAGACGTGTGAGGAGGACGGGCGGGGCGTTTCGCTCGAGACTTCCTCTTCACAGATTGCCCTGGAGCTGAAAGCTCTCCGGCAGCTTCCAGGGTGGGTGGCCGGTCGTTCTCCCAAATGCGACTCCCGCACCTGCTTCCAGGGTGGAGGGCGGCTCTCGTTCCCAACCATCCTGCTGTGTTGGGTCCCCGTTCTGAAGAGAGCGCCTCGCCTCTCCTTCCCACCCGCTGCCCCCCTCCCTCCTCGAATCCTTGCGTCTGCCCTCCGCATGCTCATCTCGGTACAACCCTCTCTCGTTTCGTGGCCCCATTGGGAGTCCCACCGAAAGCTCCAGTGCCGTATCTCGCATGCGTACCCCGCGCCCACTGCGGCACACCCTTCTCACACGTTTCGTTGCCCCACGCGGAGCTCCACCGAAGGTTCCAGTGGCGTCTCTCGCACGCGTCCCCCGTATTAATTCCGGCACACCTCTCACACGCTTCGTGGCCCAATAGGAGCTCCACCGAAGGCCCCAGAGGCATCTGTCGCATGCGTCCCCCGCATCGGTTTCGGCACACCTCTCATACGCTTTCTGGCCCCACAGGGAGCTCCACCGAAGGCCCCAGTGGCGGTGTTCGCATGCGTCCCCCCCGCCCATTTCGGCACACGCCTCCCACGCTTTGTGGTCCCATAGGAGCTCCACCGAAGGCCCCAGTGGCTGCGTTCGTCATACGATTCGTGGCCCCATGGGGAGCTCCATCGAAGACGATGCCCACAACTGCGTTACTCAAAACTGCATATTGTTGGGTCCTTTGACAGGCAATTTCTTTCGAAATGTGGCTCTCGCCGCATGGCAGCGCACATTCAGTTCACGACCTTGCTACAGCTTGCGTGAAGAATGAGGGGTGGTTCGTTTTCAAAATGCGCTTCTCGCATTTGCGACGCGCAGGTTGGTTTTAAAAGCTATGACCGATTACAAGGAAGGAGGGCAGTTTCTTTTCGAAGTGTGGCTCTCCTTGAGCGACGCGCTCGCCCGTCTTGAACTTTTGCGGCGCCTACAAGAACGGAGGACGGTTCGTTTGCAGAATGGGGTTCTTGCTCCGGGATTCGTCAAACTTGCAGGTTGGAAGGCTGAGTCCACTTCACAAAGGCACGGATGGAGCAGCTCCTTTTCCAAGTTGGCTTCTCGCTGGAGGTTTGTGCAACAGTTGGGGATCGTTTGGACACCTGGCTGAATTGTATGATCCTACCTCGTGGCGTCTCTGTAGTTGGAGCGTCCAAAACGGCCTCGGCGAGGAAACCACACCCACTGGTTTTACTGAAGTTTTGGCCCCATGTTGGCTTTCTGGGGGGCGAGGCTAACTCAGGACCCCCTTTCCTTTTCATCGATCTCCTCCGATATGTATGGCCCCACAAGCAATCCAAAGACTCCCAAGAGGGTGCAGCAGAGTTTTTTGTTCGAAGCGGGGCTCTCGCCTGAGTGGCGGACCCCTGGGGTGCTCGTTTTTTTTTTAGGCGGCGCATCCTTCCATCGGCAGGAAGACTTGCAGGGGCCTGGGGCGGGAGGGTGACTTGCAGCATCGTTGATGCCTCCTGGTCCTCCTCTCTGTACTGGAAAGCCTCCTCCTCCCTGCGGATGGGAGGGAGGAGGCGCAGTGGGCGGATGATGGGGAGTGACAGTGGAAGAGAGAGGAGGAGGAAGCGAAGAATGGAGAAGCGAAGAGAAGAAGGAGGAAGCGCAACTGGGGAAGGATGAGGACCGGGCAGATGATGCATGATGATAAGGACGATGGGGAGGAGAAGGAGGGGATAACGACGACGACGACGACGAAGGAGCCGAACAGGCGGAGGAAGAGAGGAAGGGCAAGGAGGGAGGAGGAGGAGGAGGAGGAGGAGGAGGAGGAGGAGGAGGAGGAGGAGGAGGAGGAGGAGGGAGGAGGAGGAGGAGGAGAGGAGGAGGAGGAGGAGGAGAAGGAGGAGGACGG